AACAAGAATTCGAAAATATCACTTTTTACCAAAAAATTACAAAAATAATCATTATTTTCCGCAGCAAAGATGCGACGCGCACCTAGTGGAGCTCAATACCCTGCTATCTTGTGCTATCACTAACATCAACCACGGTAAAAAACAGGATTAATAAAAATTCGGATCTGATATTAAACTCATTTGTCGCAAATCAAGGTATAGTTGAAATATCATACAATAAAAAATTAAAGCTAAAATTTCAAAAACCACAAAAAGTACTGTAACTCACCCAATCATCAACAAACTTCTGTTGATCTTCTGTCGATTGGTGTTTGAAAAGGTCAGCTGTTACGTGGGGGGAACTGCGCATGCGTCTCAGTCGTTGTTTTTAAATGCGCATTGAAATTGGTAAATGGTATGAAAAATAACATTTTTCATGTGACGTACACACCCCTTTTAATGACAGCAAGACTCATCCAATTACTTTGATCTTGTTTTATCATGTTTTATCTGAATGTTTATTGGTAAGTCAACATTTGAAGAGGATTTTAACACATTATAATACCAAAAGTAAACTTTCTCAAGTGCTTTTTTTAATCCTCTTAACTGAGTGGTTCATCATGTGTTAGTAAGTCCATGGTCTAATCTAAAGCTGAATTAGATGTTTACATATAGTTTACTTACTCAACTTACTACCATGTAGGTTGATACATGTATAATAAAAGTGATAGTTTGTAAGAATAATCTTCTGTAGTATGAAATAATAGGACTTTTCAGGCAATTAAATCGTAAGTTCCTGAATATGAAGTGAATAATTACAAATAACTGTGATTATATCATGGTGTAAATAGAACATGAACATAAGGGCAGCTAGACAATGTGATAAGCTACAATAACAAATACAGCTTTCCATATTTGTTGGCTCTGTTATGGAACAGTTGTCATGATCATAAACGATCAACTTTTAGTATCTTGGGAAAACAGCACTGTGCATCTTTTACTATCTTGGGAAAACAGCACTGTGCATCTTTTATCCAATGTCAATTTATCGTTCCTCATCTGTGATTATATACCTCAAAATGCAATTTGGTCTCTCAATTTAAGTTGATTATCTGGTGATATTTTTTACTGTTTCTGTGACCATGATATTGCTATTATTGCAGAATGTCTATAACGTTCACAATACACACACTTAACCTGAAATCCAAACTGTAGCATACACATGCATGTAGAATCCGAACTACCAATCATGAGTCTGATGCAGCTTTCGCTTTGTTATCGATGGTAGGTATATATATATATAGAACCTTTTCAGGACAAGTTGGTAGAAATTTAACTAGTCCAGTGTTCTCAGGGACTGCGTTTATTGCCTTTATTGTTATGATAATTAAGCTCAATTGTTAATATAAAAATAAAGAAGGGAGGGGGGGGGGGAACACTCTATAATGCTCTAGAGAGAACCCTGTAGTCTGTAATGTGAATTTAAATACCACTGCAAACCAGTACTCAAGATAATGACTGCTACAAATTTCTTATTCTGTATATTATTAGAGTATGTTTCATAGTGTTTCACAATAAGCTAAAAAAACTATAACTCTGTAACTCCATAATATCACAGACTGAACATTCGTAACCTATGAGGGTCACAGTGTGGGCGTTATTGTGTCGATGCATGGAATTACAAAGGAACTAAAAAGATCACTATAGAAGGCACTCAGAACAGTGAAAGGTAGGCAGATATAGTGACAAAAGATAAGTGTAATGGAATGCCATGGGTGTGAAAGGTCAGCCAAGTACTTTACAAGAACACAACAATATGATTGATGACTTAGATGTCCTAGTCAATGAGAATAGGACAACCTTAGTTTGGAATATTTTTCTTTATTTAAGGACAAGTAAATACTGCTACGTCATCATTCTTTAACATTAAACACTCTAAGCTGTAGTAAATATTATCAACACAGAAAAATTATTGTGAAACTATGTGGTACTATGTATATGCTTGAACTTAATGTTCATAGGAAGATTTTGACACTTTAATAGTTCAGCCTAGAGCACAATTCATCAGTATCTTTGTCTAGTAGAATTCCCTTTGTTACTTCAGGGCACGTGCCACACATGAATGCCTCTCAGGACACTGGTATATACTTGTGCCAGTCTCACAGTCTCTCCTTAATAACATTCAAGGACATAGCAAATATGTGGTATGCATAGAACAGTACAGTACAAAGATAGGTGATTTATTAAAGAATTTCATAATATGAAATAGAGGCACAAATCATGTACTTATCACTGCACACTAGAAATTTACTATGAATATAACCTTTTACTCAACCACAGAGGGCAGTATCTTGGTTCACTGGTTATACATCAACAGTCGTGACATGTTGACAATAGAGCTTTTCAGCAGGTCAGACAATAGGAGCAATAGTTTGAAGAATTAACAAAATAAAATAAAACTCTCGAGCCAATTCAGGAATGTTGATAGCTACATCACACAAGGTTGAATGAACAAAACGAAATGTCTCTAAAATTTATGTATATTTCAAGCAACTATGTTTTCCTATAACTATAATATTATACAATGACTATAAAAGGTAAATTCTATTGGAAATGCTACCAGTACAACCTGTTGATCTCGCATGTTACACTCCTCTCTAGGTGAGAATATCAAAGCGGAGGTCGGTCGATGCCCGTCATACTGTCTGAGTGCATACTTTGAGGTATTCTCGTAATAACCTTATTATTATACATCTTTTCCTTCCAAGGATACACCATGGAAATGCCAAAATGCCTTGTGCGGAGTCCGGCCAAACCCTAGTGGCAGCCATGTTTGTTATTATTATTAGAGGACGCTTACGCGCATAATCATTCAATTTTGGGAATTCAAATTTCCTAATATGGTAGGATGAAAATACCCCGTAAAATACCGCAAAATTATGGCACGCTGTATAATAAGACTAATTATTAAAAATCAATGTAATGTACAATAGATTACTAGAATAGAATCTGTATTGACATGTCAGAGAAAAATCAAGAAGACACTAAAAACATCAAATTATCCTTCGATCCTTTAAGTACCAAAGTAAACTTTTTTCACTTTTCGCAAAATAAATTTCTCCATTTTTTTCAAAGATATTTTTCAATCTGACTTGACTTGCAGACATATGGAAAAATATTAAAGTAGAAATTTGCAAAAAATTTTGAATGATGGTGTTCAAATGCTTACAGTAATAGGAATTGTGTCATGCTAGTTAGTTGGAAAACCTTAAAGAGAAGACAAATATACTTTGTGATTAAAAAGTAGTATGCCATCTCAAATCTCAGTCAATAGAAACTAAGGATATTGGCTGGCAGTACATAATGTTTGAACTTTTGGCACCAGGGCAAGAACACCCATACTGATTTATCGTATGCTCCACTGATCAACTCTATTATGTCGTCATTGTATCTGCACCAATACGCAGAATGCTTGTCATGTTCACCGTCCACTATCACCCAACCACTGTACCGTAAAAGAACGATTATTCAATGGCTTCAATGTTTAACATATAATCATTAAATGTCTTTCTGAATCAGAGTGAATGACCTCTGGGTTTCAAGGTCATCTATTGATAAGACAATGAGAACACACAGAGCCTACCACCAACTCATAACCAAAACATGCATAGTGTATGTAAGGAAGATCCAACATATAAGTAGCTTGTAAAACAAGAAACAACTAGAAACTAATCTAATCTTGCTCTAGGCTATAACCAAACAAAGCGACCAAGTCACAATCCTAAAATGGAAATGTGACCACAGAGGTTCAGAAAAACAAGTGTTCTGTAAAGAATGACTTTTTATGATTGAGGGAGCTATTTATTATATTTTGTGTGACCTTGGTCAATATACTTGGTGTACTCAAGAACATTATTAATATTTCTGTGCATAATCTAAACCTCTCTGTTTGTGAACTTGATGTACTGTGAAGGGATGGCAAAATAAGATTTTCCATATTATATGTGACATACTCATCACCAAGTTTAATGTCATATGTAGATTCAAGGATGATGGAATGCAATAGATTAAGACTCTGATAGAGTACAACTATGATGTAATGCAACGTCCAAATATGGAATATGACATGTCATCACATGCATAACTTGCATATCACTATAGTGTGACATAAGACAGGGCAGATCAAAAACCCATATCACCACAGTGTGATGTAATACAGGACAGATCAAAAACCCATATCACCACAGTGTGATATAAAACAGGGCAGATCAAAAACCATATCACCACAGTGTGATGTAAGACAGGGCAGATCAAAAACCCATATCACCACAGTGTGATGTAAGGCAGGGCAGATCAAAAACCCCTATCACCACAGTGTGATGTAAGACAGGGCAAGACAGGGCAGATCCAAAACCCATATCACCACAGTGTGATGTAAGACAGGGCAGATCAAAACCCATATCACCACAGTGTGATGTAAGACAGGACAGATCAAAACCCATATCACCACAGTGTGATGTAAGACAGGGCAGATCAAAACCCATATCACCACAGTGTGATGTAAGACAGGACAGATCAAAACCCATATCACCACAGTATTACTTCACATACTGCTGAACATTGTCTGGAGCTTCCATGGTTATATAAGGTCTGATAACTACGGATTGTGGTAACAATCGTTCATTTTGGCAAGCACACATGTGTATTTATTTAGAATTATTATTATTTTACAAAAATCCTGAGCACATATCACGGTGTTTGTGCGAAATAGAACATCGTGGCATCAACAAAATTAGCATACAAAGTGCGTGCAATGATATATTTGTATTTGTACTTCGCCTTTCACTATGTCGTACTTTGGAAATATGCATCTCTCTTATGTTAACGTCAACATACACTCGTGATTACTGCCTAAAGCTCTGATTGATACAAAACTCTGGTGGTTATCACTCTGATTACAAGCAAAATTAATGTAAAATTAAGACATCAAATTTTGGAGATAGAAATATAAAAACTCTTACCCTGGATAAGGATCCGGTATATTAAATCTTTTGCTCAATAATCGGTCTGGATGCCATTCCAGTACATCTCTGGTTAATTTACCAAACATCTTCATTTCAGCTGCTTTCACCTGTTCATTTTTATCACCCTATATGATCACAAACAATAACAGCAAATAAAAAAGAATTTATGCGAAATCTACTAAATGCACTGCAGAACATATTATGAGGTTATTACAGCAGTTAATTTACTTACTGTAGAAGAAGTATGCAGCTGTATGTATTTGATGAAGATAAGTATTTGACATGTGATAAAGATAAGGGTATGCAGCTGTAG